TCCCTGTGTGCTCCTGCTTTTTCCCAGTCCTTACCCACAGGGGCTGGACAAACCTCTCCTGCTGCTCCCACCCCTGTGAGCATCATTCCATGGCTAACAGCCACTGCAGGGCTTCATTCCCTGCTTCCCTGGAGGAATTCCTCCTTCAGGCACGGACACACAGCCCAAACACCTTCCCTGAGCTGCTTTCCACCTCTGAGGAAGGGAGGGAAAACAGAACCAGGGTTTGGCCTTGGCTCAGCAGAGAACAGCAGGGAGTACCAATAACCTGCAAGGTTTTATTCTGGGAGAGGAGGGGGAGGCAGCCACAGGTTGGGACTCAGGAGGTTCAAATGCTCTGGCCAAAGAGTCCTAGCGAGCCCTGGCTTGCAAACAATGCTGGGTGGCAACAGAGCAGATAAAAATCCCCTCCAAAACACGGTATAAACAGGCTCTGAGTACAGATCACAGGTAGAAAAGCTCAGCAGAAATGCAGATTGATGGGTTTGAGATCAACAGAAACCCCACAGATTCCCTTTCAGCTTCAAAATCCATATTATGCACCCAGACTTTGCATCAGGGGGTTGGAAATGGAGCATCTTTAGGCTCCTTCCAACCCAAATCAGCCTGTGATCCTGTGATCCTGAACTGACACAAGCCCCAGTTCTGATGTGGGGAGAGCTGAGGTGTTTTGGTTCCTTTTCCCTCCTGCCTTTGAAGCTGCAGCTTTGTCCCTGGGAGCCAGCACTGGATGGTGCTGTGGCCCAGCACAGGTGAGCTCACCTGGCTGTCAGACAAATCCTGCTGCTCCTGGAGCCACCAGGGGAGCCACAGGGACAGCCAGGATCCTGCATTACTCCTGGATGCAAATTCTTTTCAAAAGGAGATTTTGCAGGAGCACTTTGTGCCCGAGGAAGCAGAATTTTGGAAAGTTGGCTCCTACCCAGTCACTGAGCTTTCAAGCACCCTGAGAGTGACCTGTGCACGTTACCAGTCTGAGCCATTGGAAAAGGCAAACTTTGGTTAAAAATCAAGTTTTAAAAAATAAACAAATGTCCAGATCACAGAATGTTCTGAGTTGGAAGGAATCCACAAAGTATCAAGCCCAACTCTTAAGCCCATACAGGGACTGAACCCACAAACCTGGTGTTGCCAGCACCCTGCTCTGACCAACTGAGCCAATCTGCCATTTTTTAGGAGCTTTTTGGCCCCTGATGCTTTCCCATTGTTTAGGAGGGAAACAGCTGTAGTAAAACAACACTTCAGTAGAAGTTCAGATTTTGAAGTGTTTTCCACATTTTTCTTCTGGTTCTGGAAGGAATCAATAAGAGAAATGTGGCTTATTCCAGGGTTTGAGAAAATCACAGCTGTTACCAACCCAGTCTCATTTTCCCACTTTTCCATCAATGTTGTTTGATTAAGAAGAGCCAACCTAGTGCTGAGCAACTCAGGAATAAATCAAACTGTAGAAGAGGGACACCAGATGTAATAAAAGCAGTTCCTGGAACAAGGAGATGCAAAGATCTGCTTGGTGTGGAGGTGGGGAAGGAATGGCACGTGAAATGTGTGTATTTTCTCTGCCACTGAAGTGTATTTTCTTCTCCTGATAAATGTATCCAAGGCAATATAAACAATTTCAAAGAGCTGAAAGAATGCAGTGAGATGTTGCTGTGAATCACACACATCAAAGCAAGCTGAGGCCCAGAAGAGGCTTTCTGTGCAGAGAAAACTGGCTTTTCTTGTATTTCAAGGAAAGAAATCCTTCTGTGCTCAGACTCTGTCCCCACACACTTGACTTGGATCAGTATTTTCAGTGGGGCACTCACTAAACCCTGCACTCACATAAGAAAAATTCACTCAAATATTGGTTTCTCCTGTCTGCCTTTGAGTTTATTTCAGATCAAATCCCTTTCTGGTTGGTTCCTGGGGTGGTTTCTCCCCAGCTCCAGGCAGGTGCTGCTCCAGCTGAGCCTGAGCAGGAGCTGCAGGGGAAGGGAGAGCAGGAAAGGCTTCAGAGGGTGACACAGAGAGGAGGTGACTTGGGAATACCAAAAGCTCAACTGCAAACCAGATGTGGCCTCAGGGAAAGAAAAGAGCAGTGATGGAACTGAATGGAATTGCCAGAGCTGAGGGAATGCTCTGGAACAACAGGATTTCTCTGGATGCCACAATGTGTGAGGAAATCCCAATTAGATTCCCTGGAGGATAAGCTCCATTTGGAGCTGTGTTATCTGATGTGTCAGCAAGGACAATCACACAGATATTATCAAGTAATAAAATCTTTATAACACAGCCTATGAACTGTGCAGATAAAGGGGGTGGCTTTGGGGTTTGCTCAGAAAAGTCCGGAAGAGTTGCAACAATTCCTGTCTTTAGGGCAGTCAGTTATTAACTTTATTAGAACTTTATCTATTTCTATATAAGAAATCCATAGAGAGAGGAGCTTTAACTCTGATTTTTGACCAGAAGACTCTGCTGATAAAGTTGAATTATATCTTCCTTTTTAGCAACCTTTGAAATATTGTCTATATTAGACTAAAACCATTGGAGTTCAAAATATTCCACAGTGGCTCTTAATCCAAGGATGATACTTCAAAGGAATCTGAGCAGTTTTGTGGGAGCCAAATTGAGAGCAGCCAAAATTACTCTTCCTGTGCCTTTTTGGGATACACAAATTTTGTCTGGCTTAACAAAATTCAAGATAGCTTCCCATTCCTGCTCTCCATCCCTATCCCATTTAACTGGATACCACTGATAAATAGCTCATAAAAGGGAAGAATCCTGCAGAAAGGAGGGAATTAAATTCCCAGAAAGTTGTGGTACCAGGTACATTTTCCCCAGGTTCAGTTTTCTGTCTCTAATTCCCAGCCCAGACCTCAGCAGCCCCCCGAGGTTCCACTCAGTGGGATGCAAACCCTTCCTACAGAGGCTCTGCCAGCCTGTGCAGCCTGGATGAATCCTTTGGTTGTCTTGTTTTTCTGGAAATTTCTTTTCTGGAGACCCAGACACACTGAAGGTTCTCCTGATGGAGTGTTGTCACACAAAATAACTGAATTTTCTTTTAGGGATAAGAGGATTTTTGGAAGATCCGTGCCTTCCTCCCCTGCAGGTGTCTCTGGAGGTGTGGGGAGCTCCTGTTTGTCCTGGTTTTGTTGTCCCCTCTGGGCAGGGACAGGCTGTGCTGTATCACCTGTGCAGCTTGCCAGGTGCATTTCTGTGCAATCTCTGAGCTCTGTCCAAGCTGTGCAATAATTCAGCCCCATTCTGGTAATGAATTCTCTGCTCTTTAGGGCTGGAGAGCAGCAGCACCTCGGACCAGACTAAACGGGCATTTAACAAGGCCGAGCTAACAGGACTCCCCTGGAATTAGCCAGAGCATTAACGCCAAATGAGCTCATCCTGAATTCATTAGCAATGATTACTCTGAGTACCAGAGGAATTAATAATCATTAACATTTCCTGAGGAGGGCTGCTGGAACTGCCAGCCACGGCTGGTTCAGGGCTCCACAGGCTTTCCCCAGCAAGTTTCATTCGGAGGGAGTCATTAAGTGGAACTCTGCGGTCACTGGAGAGTTCCCACTGATGTTTTGAATCCGTACTCCCAGTTCAGTTGCAATCCAGCTCTAAAAGCACTTCAAAGCCCGGCACTGCCTGGTGCAGTCACTGCTGGAATTACCTCCCCTATCCTCGTTTTGTCTCCGAGTGAATCTCCCTGGCTTTCTGCAGCTCTTCCGAAAGGTTAATAAACCTGGGAGGCTGCTGGGAGCCACCCAAGGGCAAGGGGACTCCCCAGACAAAAGGAATGCAAAAACGTTGTGTTATGATTTTGTGCAAGCAAATTCTCAAAGTAAAGATATCCGAGGCTTTGATTCGGCTCCTTAAAGCTCTCTCTGTTCCCAGCAGCATTTGAAGACTCGGCTGTTTTGCATATCAGAGGCAGCTGACTCGGGAGGCAGAGGGAATTCACTGCTCACTTTGGATGACCTTTTCCTTTGGGGATGAGCTTCCACAAGAGTTTTACTTCTCTGACAACTTATTCCTGTTGGCCGTCTCCAAATGCTGCACACTTGGAATTTACATCATGCTGGTACCTTCAAATGCAGCTTTTCTGCATAGCTGCTCCTTGCAGAATCATGTCATGGCATTATGGAATATCCTGGCCATGTCTGTGTGGAACTGTCAGCATTTTTGAATCTCATCTCAGCATTGACAGCTATCAATACAATCTGATCTTTATGGACAGGGAGTATAAAAGCTCAAGTACTGTTCATATAATCTGATTATCTCCTTCCATTTACACAGGACTGGGCTGCTTTCCTTATCCAGCTTGATCTCTCTCCCAAGGTCCCTGTGGTGTTACTCTACCAGTGAATTGTCCCTGCAAGTTTTATGTGGGCAGGAGAGTTTATGGCTCGAGTTCATGGACCTCCTTCCCAAGGCTGAGCAGATCCCTGTGGAGCTCAGCAGTGAGGACTGAGGCCCCTGTGCCACCCCTGCCCTGCTCCCCGTGCTAACGCTGCTCTGCTCTGCAGTGGGCTCCAGCTGGGAGGGAAGTTTCCTTGAGTCCAGCAATCTTGGCATTAAGCTGAAGGAGTTTTAACTAACAAACTAAGTGTCAAACATGTTTTCAGGATAGTCAAGAGTTGTTTTAAAGCCACTTTTAAATCAAAAGTGCAAAAGAACCCTGGTGGTGACACAAGTTTCCTCAGATCTTTCTCTTCAGAGCTGAGAACCAGTGCATGGTCCATTATTGTTTTATTTTCATTCCATCCTGAATGCAAAACCAGTGAAATCTTAAAAGAAAAAAGACATCATTTTGTTTAAATCTGCACTAAAGGGAAGCTGAGCCTTTGGCCTTGACTCCTGCTGATCTCCAGGTTATTGGCAAAGACAATTGCCTGATAACCTCGGATCTCACACAGGTCGATGGCATCGCTGTGACTCACAGGGGCCATAAAGCTCCATTTCCAAGGGGTGTGGGCCAGGTGGGCTGAGAGCTTGGGCTGGATTTAAAGGCAGAGCTGAGCCCAGCTGATCCATTCTGCTCTGATCCAGCTGCTGTTCTGCTTCCCCAGGCTCATCCCAAGGGAACAATGGCATTCACTGGCAAATATGAGTTCGAGGGAGACGAGAACTACGATGCCTTTGTGCAGAAGATTGGTGAGTCTGGCTGGGGTCAGGAACAGGGCATGGATTGGATAAAAATACTTGGGAAAGGCTGGGAGAGCTGGGATGGTTCAGGCTGGAGAGGAGAAACTTTGGAGTGACCCAGCTGTGGCCTCCCAGTGCCTGAAGGGGCTGCAGGAAAGGTGGAGGGAGACTTTACAAGGAATGGAGTGACAGGACAAGGGGGAATGGATCCAAACTTGAAGGGTGTAGGGTTAGATGGGATATTAGGAGGAAATTTTTCCCTGTGAGAGTGGGCAGGCCCTGGCACAGGTGCCCAGAGCAGCTGTGGCTGCCCCTGGATCCCTGGAAGTGCCCAAGGCCAGGCTGGACAGGGTTTGGAGCAGCCTGGGATAGAGGCTTGGGTTGGATGATCTTTAAGGTCCCTTCCAACCCAAACTGTCCAAAGATTCCACGATTCCATGTGCATCTAGTTAAAGAGCAGGAGCAAATATAAAAATAGGTATGTGCAGCTAAATAGCAAAAGGCCAAGGTCCCACACATGAAATTCCAAGCATTGCATGTGTAGGTTAAGGAGAAGGGAATGTCTGATGTACTTTGTATATTTTTCCTGTGTATTCTTTCTTAGGAAAAAGAATGCAAGATTTATTTTAGCAGATGCATTAATGTACCAATATCTTTCTTTACATCAGTCATTTCAACTCAGAGCTTTGATGTTGTAAAAAAGTTAAAAATAAGAAATGAACAACAAATCAGATGCTCTGAGAACAAACACACCGCTACCATCCTGCAGTTCAAATTCAGCTTAGGTTTGATAAACTCCATTTTTTTATTGTTTAAGGTCTCCCCAGTGACAAGATTGAAATGGGAAGGAACTGCAAAATTGTGACTGAAGTGGTGCAGAATGGGAACGACTTCACCTGGACACAGCACTTCCCGGGAGGCCGCACCACCACCAACAGCTTCACCGTGGGCAAGGAGGCAGACATGGAGACCATGGGAGGGAAGAAGTTCAAGGTAAATTCATGGGGCCCTTCAGCTCCCCAGCCTCAGGGGGATTTGGATTTCGGGTGAAAAGCAAACCTGTGTCAGGCCTAGTGAAGGAGTCCCTGCCCACAGCAGGGGGTGAAACATGAAGGGCTCTGAGGCCCTTTCCAACCCAGACCATCCTGGGATCCCCTGATTCCATCATCACTCATTCCTGGGCTGCCTGCCAGGACTGTTTTCAGAGCTGTTAATGAGTGATGTGGAGATCTGGAACCTGCAGGAACTGGAAGATGAACAAGTGTGTGTTTAAATTGTGAACATTCAAGAACTAAAGCCCACAGATTTTAGCTCCGTGCATGAGGCCACCTGTGCAAAACACAACCTCTGTCTCATAAACTTCCAGCATCAGGTGTGCAGGTGTTTATAGAATCTGGTAACAGAAACCCCAGCAATGTGAACCCTTTCTCTCTTACAGGCAACTGTCAAAATAGAAAATGGGAAACTTGTAGCTGAGTTCCCCAACTACTGCCACACTGCAGAGATCTGTGGGGGGAAGCTGGTAGAGGTGAGTGCTCTAAGATCCCATGTAGTTCATAAAAAACAAAGACAATCCTCAAAATTTGAAGTTCAGAAAAAAATCTGAAGGACATTCTGTGAGCCATCCCCAGGGCTGTTCCCCTGGGACTCTGGAGCTCTGATTACACTGTTCAACCAAAGTTTTGGTTTGTTCTTTCTTCCAGATTTCTACCTCTTCTGGTGTAGTCTACAAAAGGACCAGCAAAAAGATTGCCTAAGGCAGCAAGGCCAGTCTCTTCCAGTGCACTGAAATCCAACAATAAAATCAATAAAATAAAGTTCTGTCTTTGTCTCTTTCTTGGTATTACAAACATCCTCATGTTAATGCTTACCCCATTCCTAAATATCTGGCAGGAGTGGAACAGGATGAGATTTAAGGTCCCTCCCAACCCAAACCCTTCTGATTCTCTGCTCTGAAGGACACCAGAGGTGCTCAGAGCACCACTTTGTGCCCTGAGAGGAGCCCTGAACCTTAAAAACAAGACCTCTTAATCATTTCCTGTGCAGACCAGATGCCTTTGCTGTTACAACTGCCTTGATAGGGCTGGGAGGGACTTCTACAACTCCAGCTGACAAATTCCTGACTCTGAGCTGGCTGGCAAAGCCCAATTCCGTTACAGGGATTGTGCTGGGGTGTAGGGGAGGAGGCCCAGTGACACAATCTCCAGCATCAATGGCATTTCCCTGCTCAGCTTTAGGAAAATGGTGGTTTCCATGCTTTATTATAACAATGCAATAACCAAAGCATTCTTCACCAGTATTTGAGTTACATGTCCGTGGGATGTTGGAATAATAATGGAATATATAAGGGTGGCTTTGGGAGACTTCATGAGGCTGCTGTAAACCTGGTACCCTGTGGGTTTGATGGCATCAAGGAAGTCTGAATAGCCCATACAGGCTGCAATCAACTGATAATCCCATAGGCAAATGTGGAATCATCTGATAATCCCAGACATGTCCCATGTAAGGCCACACTTTGCTGGATTGAGGCCCATTTCCCATTTTTTCCCATAGTTTCTCATCCTACACTTCGTTGAGATAATCTTGGTCAGGATAAATCAAGAATCCAGTAAATAAGCTGTCTGTCCAGTAGGGATCGTAAAAGAGCCCATTTTGCTCTGAGTAAAAGATTTGCAGCCACACCTCATCCTCCTCCTTCAGCGCCAGGACGGTAGATCCAGAGGCCACGTCGTGGTTCCCGGTGTTGGCATCAAAAGTCTTGATCCGGTACTGGCCGTTGTGGACCAGGCCAATGGCCAAGTGCTTGTTGGCCAAAGTGATGTCGTAGGTGAAGTAGTAAATCCCTGGGATGCTGCAGATGAACTTCCCGCTGGAAGCGTTGTAATGTCCCCCCTCGTTCATCAGGATCCTGTCAAACTTGATGGGCAGCCTCTCCCGGGGGTAGCTCTTGGACACGGCCACGGAGAAGGCAGATTTGGCCTTGCTGGCGCTGCAGCTGCAGGGTCCTGGCAGCCCAGGGTCACCCCTGCTCCCTTTGGGCCCTTTCTTCCCCGGGGCCCCGTTTTTCCCGGGATTTCCCTTTAAACCCTTGGGCCCCCGGGGCCCTGCCTTGCCAATGGCTCCTGCTTTCCCCTTCGGGCCTGGCTTGCCGGGGTTTCCTGTTCTGCCCTGGGGACCTGGAAGACAAATGATCTCAATTTTTCTTATCACTTTTGAGGGAAAGAGTTGATACAGCAGGAGGAAGGGGGATAGAGCAGTGCAGCAGGGATTTCATTTAGCAGGAAGACATTGCTGGTGTGAGAATCCAAATGAAATCCCAGCAGGGGCTGGACATCTGTCTGGGACAACTCCCCAGCCAGGGTAGGCAGGGAGGTGGTGTGGTAACAGTAGAACTCTGTCCTTTTCAAGGACGAAAATTCTGATTCCGTTATCTGGCTCACTTGAGAAGAAGGAGGAATTAAAGAACAAGCTTTAAATGTTTGGGTTTTACAGATTGGGGCAGGTTTGTGAAGTTTTCAGAGCCTCACTTTGAGCAGGTGAGTATTTTAATCTCATGTCTTTTTTTGTTTGGGTGGGGGTTTTTCGTTGATTTTGCTCTTTTTTTTTTTTTTTTTTTTTTTTTTTTTTCTCCATGAAACTGTTTTAAAACAAGGTAAAAGTAAATCTAGAGATGGTAAAAAGCCCAGCTCAGCCCAGCTGGGGGGATGAACCAGCAAACACCGGGGGCAGGGGCTGCCTTGAGATGGGAAGGGGGTTGGGCTGGCAGCGATTCTGGCTCGGTGGTATCTGATACGAGCAGTATCAGAGGATTTATGCAGTGTCTCTTGTCCTGCTGTAGCAAGAGCAGATTGAAAGGCAGCTGTGGCTGGAAATGTGCTCTGCAGACTGCCGGTGTGGGGAGGGCTGGCTGGCGTTGCTGAGGCAGGAGTGCTCTCTAGCGAGGCAGGGGGAAAGCGCTGCTCCTCCCGGCCCCGCCGGGATCCCGAGCCCCGCCTCGCCTCTGCTTGCTCCGGGTTGTGGCCAGCACTGTCCCGTTACACTCTCCGGGACTGCAGCCGAGCCTGCCCTTTCTCACGGGGCTCCGCTTTTCCTGCGAGCGGAGCCAGAGACCAGCTCCTCGTGTCCTCTGGAGAGCCCTGCTCAGCCTAGGGCGAACCTGACCATCACAAAATGAAGCCAACAGAGACTGCGGGCAGCTCTCAGGACGCGATGTGCCAGTGGAACCCCTTGGAGAGGGACACCGGGGATTCCCGGAGGAGTTTCCCATCAGGTGGAGCTGTGAAGGGGCTGTCGCACCACAGCTTCCACCTTTCCACTCTTCTGCTGAGCACCTCTCTCTTACCTTCGTCGCCGTGCTCGCCCTTGTCCCCGTCCTGGCCGTCCTTGCCATCCTTGCCTGGGAAGCCCATCCTGCCCACGGTGCCGGGAGCCCCGGGCAGGCCGGGGGGCCCGGGGGGTCCGGGGGGCCCGGGCAGGCTGCAGGCCAGCTGGGCACCCTCCTGCAGCTCCCGCTTGGCAAAGCCGCCCAGGATGTGGTTTGCCACACAGGGCACGGTCCAGAGGAGCAGCACGGCAGAGATCATGGTGCACCTGTGGGGAGGAGATGGGATTTGGGAGCTGGGTGGGCACCGCTGGCATGGGCTGGTGCAGAAACTTGCAGGAAAATGGGAGATTATTTGGCTTGTCTTGGCAGGGCGGGGGAGCTGTTTGCTTCGGTGTGATGTGATTCCAAGGACTTGGCTCACAGAGTTTTCTAGGTCAGACCAATATTTTTATCAAACTAACTCCTCTCCAGGTCTGTACCTGTGGCCATCCCTCATTTTGTTTTGCTGCCTGAGTCTCTTTTCCCCCAAAACACCGGGAGCAATGGCAGAGGAGGGCAGAAAGGAGCTGCTTGGGACCAGGGGAGTGGAAGAAGAAGAAGGGGTTTGGTGTGAACATCCCCAGCATGACCTGCCCGTGGTTGGGTCACTGGGGTTTCCTCAAAGCACAAAGCCCATCGTGTGATGCAGGGCAGGGCTCAGAAGAGAGGCTGGGCAGGCTTTGGGCCAGGCCTTAGTGCCTTTTGCCCGTCCCAGATGAGTCTCATCCCCTTCCCCACTGCAGCTCATCTTTAGCAGCTCCCCAGTAGTGTTACGTGGAAATAAGATGCTTAAAGCACTGGCTAAATTCCATGTTAGCCTTAGCTCTCATCCTGCTCTCAGCTCCTGAGGGGTGGAAATGCATATTTAGATGCTCCAAATCCAGCCAGCTGATCCTACATATTTATGCACAGTGGGAGCCCCCAGTTCTGTGATATTATAATTAAGAACAAGCAGAGAGGACAGGGAAATGCAAACCAGATCCAGGGCTGGATTTGGCTGCTAAGCCCTTTGGTTCTCCACCTCTGATTTGCTGCTGCTGAAAGGCGTTGGTTTAATGGACTTGTGAGATGGAAAACATCACACAGTATTCATGTGGAAAGCTGAATGAAGGCTTCTGAGCTCATGGAAATGGAAACAAAATGCCTGTGGAGCAGGAGATCACAAGGAAAGCTGCATCCCTGCTTCCCAGGAACCCCTCCAAAGGGGCAGAGAAGTGAGAGGCGTCTGGAGGTAGATGACAGGCACAAGCTGTGGCAGGGAAAAACTGTGGTTGTGGAGCATAACCTGGAGAAAAGCTGGGAATGCCTCGTGTGGAGAAGAAATGTGCAAGAAGAAGCAGAGGGTGGAAGGGCAGTTCCTCCTCTGAAAGTTTCTTACCATAATTCTGTTACCTTGAGACAACCCAGCTCGTTGACCTGATGGGATAAAAACTGGCAAACAGAATCTCCCGAGGTTGGGAGGTCTGTGGAACCAGCACTTGGATAAACAGGGACTGGCATGACTCCAGAGCTGGTGCTAATTAACAGCTCCACAAGAAAGCTTCATGCCATATCCCAGAGACATGTGTGGGATGCAAAGCACCACCACATCCACAAGAGCATCTATAAATAACCTCTTCAAGAAATCTTCTTGAAAGAGAACAAGTCTCATGCTGTTCCACCTTAAAAGGAAAATTGTTCCTCGATGTAGAAGGCCTGACGAGCTCCAAAAAGCAAATTGGAAGCAGATCAGCATCTCCCCTCTCCGTGGTGTGGGCAGCCAGCCCAGCACAGGAGGCTGTGCAGCAGCAGGGCTGATTTTCCAATGACATTTTAACCAATGGCTTTGTCACCAGGGTTAGGGACCTTTGGGCCATGACCAATGCCTGTTGTGCATTAAAGAAGTGTTTCTGTAAGAAAAGATCCTGCCTGGAAGAGTCAGGATCAGCTGTACTTTCTGCTGCTTCCAGGGCAGCTGGGCTGAAATCCCACAGGAAAATCCCTGAGGGTTGCCAGATGCAGGGTTTGGTGGCACGTACAGGTTGGATGGTGATTTTTTTGGCCAGTGAAGCCACCCTGTGCCATGTGGTGGTGGGAATAGGAACAGGGGGAATTGCTGCTTGGAGGGAGGCAGGAGCAGGATGAGGGGACCCAGCAGTGAGAGAACACCATGACTTTCTTTTCTATTTCCTTTCAATATTTGAGGCTTTCTCAAACAAAATATCCATCTTTCTGCTTCACAATTTCCTAGTGTACCTCAAGGTTTCTTGTAATCTTCAAGAGAATCGTTATCCCCATGAGTCTAATTCTGAGCTCTGGAGGCTGCCCTGCAGCGTCCCCGGCTGGAAGCAGAAGGAGCCCTCGGGTGCAAGGCTGATTTGGGTAAAATCGAGTGTGACAGCAGTGACAGAACACCTGAAATGGGTAGATTTGAAATGGTAGGTGATAGGAGGAGCTAGGGAAGTCCTTACACCA